GTGGTTTATTTTATCAATTAAATTTAGTTAAATTTTGAAACAGAGGGAAACCCTCCTCAAACATATTTCCGGCTGTAAGCCTTCTTTCAACACTTTAGTTTGATACCCGCATTGCAAAATTTCACTTATTTTATCAATTTAACTGAGTTGCAATTTTCCAATAGGCGCCAACGTCTCCAAAAATATTTCCAACAGATATCTTTCTCAAACCTCTTAGTTAAATACCCATATGGCAATATATAATTTATTTGATCACTTTAATTGAATAAAAAGTGGCTACACTCCTCAAAAATTCTTTCGACTATAAGCCTTCCTAAAACTCTTTAGTTTGATAACCACATTGCAATATTTCTTTTATTTCGTCGTTTAAAGTACAAAACCGCGTATCAAGAAAATGCAAAACCTCGTATGTGAGGTTGCCAAAACTTGTCTAGCCATAATCCACATCAAAGCGATATTTTTCAACATCTCGCTTATCTGCGCCCGTTCGGCGACGTAAGAGAAGGATGAGGCATCCAAGGATCTCTTCTATGAGCACTTGGAGCGCACGTACGAGCGCTGCCCCCGTCATGATATCAAAATCGTGCTTGGCGACTTCAATGCCAGGGTGGGCAAGGAAGGGATCTTTGAAACCACCTTCGGAAAATTTAGCCTCCACGACGAAACGTCCGACAACGGACTGAGGATGATCGATTTCGCCGCGGCCCGAAAAATGGTAGTATGCAGTACTAGGTTCAAGCATAAAAAGATTCATCAAGCAACGTGGCTGTCTTCGTATCGAAAAACGAGAAACCAAATCGATTACGTTGTGATAGAAGGAAGGCATGCTCCAAGTGTTTTGGACGTACGTACACTCCGAGGCTTAAACATCGACCCGGACCACACTATCTTGTTGCAGCCAAGATACGCACCCGCCTCTGGGTAGCAAAAACTGTTCGCCCAAATATGCAAGGAAAGCTTAACGTAGAAAAGCTGCAATCACAACAGACAGCCAATGCATTCGCTACTCGAATTTCACACCTGCTCTCAGAGAGCACTCTTCAACAAACCGAAATATGCGAGCTATGGAACAGCGTTTCCTGCAGAGAAAAAAGATGCCGCCTACAGGGCCATGCTGCGATCGGGCGCAACGCGCGCTATGTGAGACCGCTATAGCGATCTGAAGAGGGAAGCGAGACGTATTTACCGCAATAAGAAGAGAGGGGCCGGAATACGTTAGTGCGAAGTGCTTAAAATGCTGGCCGACAGGAAGAATGCTCGAAAATTTCACCAGAGAGTTAGGCGAATTACGGAAGGTTTAAGACCAGGGCGTACTCCAGTAAGAACAACAATGCCCAATCCACAAGAAAAGCGATCCCGCCATTCGCGCCAACTACCGCGGGATCATCCTTATAAGCATAGATTACAAGGTCTTATCGAGCGTATTGTGTGAACGACTAAAGCCTACCGTCAATGAACCGATTGGACCTTATCAGTGTGGCTTTAGGTCTGGAAAATCCACCATAGACCAGGTATTCACAATACGCCAAATCTTGGAAAAGACACGCGGGAAAAGAATCGACACTCACCACCTATTTGTCGAATTTAAAGCCGCTTTCGACAGCACTAAAAGGAGTTGCCTAAACGCCGCTATATCTGAATTTGGCTTCCCCACCAAACTGATATGGCTGTGTAAAATGACGTTGAGCAATACAACCAGCTCCGTCAGAATTAGGAAAGACCTCTCCGACCCGTTTGCCACTAAACGGGGCTTCATCGGACTCTCTTTCATGTGACTTCTTTAATCTGATGCTGGAGAAGATAATAAGAGCTGCAGAACTGAACCGCTCAGGAACAATTTACTACAAGAGCGTGCAATTGCTGGCTTATGCCGATGACATCGACATCATCGGTAACAAAAACCGCGAAGTCTGTTCTGCCTTTTCCAAGTGAGATAAGGAAGCAAAACGCATGGGTGTGGTGGTAAACGAAGACAAGACGAAGTATCTCCAGTCATCAAACAAGCAAACAGTACATTCGCGCCTTGGCACCCACGTCACTGTTGACAATTATAATTTCGAGAAAGTAGAGAATTTCGTTTACTTGGGAACCAGCATTAACACCGATAATAATGTCAGCATTGAAATCCAACGTAGAATCACTCTTGCCAACAAGTGCTACTTTGGACTGAGTAGGCAATTCAGGAGTAAAGTCCTCTCTCGACGTACGAAAACCACGCTCTATAAGTCACTCATCATGCCCGTGCTGGTATATGGCGCAGAAGCATGGACAATGACAACATCCGATGAGGCGGCTCTTGGAGTGTTTGAGAGAAAGATTTTGCGGAAGATTTAGTGCAGCGAATTAAAATACAGCGACTCCGCTGGCTTGGTCATATCGTTCGAATGGACACCGACGCTCCAGCTCTGAAAGTATTCAACTCGGAACCCGCTGGTGGTAGCAGAGGAAGAGGAAGGCCCCCACTGAGATAAAAGACCAGGTGGAGACGGACTTGACTTCACTTGGCATTTCCAATTGGCGCCAGTTGGCACAGAAAAGAAAGGACTGACGTGCTTTGTTGAACTCGGCCAAAATCGCTTAGGCGGTTACAGCGCCAAATAAGAAGAAGAAGAGTAAAACTTGTCCTATTTCAAGACGGTTATCTCTTTTATCACTAGTTATCTCTTCTCCTTATGTCTAAGTATCGATATTTTAGTAAATATGAATGGATAAGGCTTTGATACCTTTTTTGGCAAAAATGTCAGTTACGAAGTTTTGCAGAAGCATGACATGCGATTTTGTACTTTAAACGACGATTTCATCAATTTTACTGAGTTAAAATTTTCAACTAGGAGGTAGCCCTCCTCAAAAATATTTCCAACAGTTATCTTTCTTAAGCTTGTTTAATTTAATATCTATGTGTATCATTTATTTGGTCAATTAAATTTAGATACCCGCATTGCAATATTTCATTTACTTCATCAATTTAACTGAGCTAACATTGTCCAATAGGCGCTAACCTTCCCATAAATATTCCCAACAGATATCTTTCCCAATCATCTTAGTTTGATACCCATATTCTAATATATAATTTATTTTATCAATTTAATTGAGTAAAAATTTTGAAACTGGTGGCAAGCCTACTCAAAAATACTTTCATTTTAAGCTTTCCTAAACTCTTTAGTTTGAACCCATATTGCAATATTTCATTTATTTCATCATCTGAATTAAAATTTTCAAGTAGGTGGCAACCCTCCTAAAAAATATTTCCAACAGTTATCTTTCTTAACCCTCTATAGCTCGAAACCTTCAAACTAAATATTTTTTCCGGAATCGGTAAGATTTATGAATAAAACATAAACATATTATTATTTAATTTCGAAACTTTTTATTTACTATGCATATTATTACAATAATAGGGAGTGTAGCTTACAGGCAACAATGAATAACAGTGATACAAAAAACAAGCAAAACTTAGGACAGGTGGAAGACCCTGAACCAATTTTTTATATTTGGTATAGCATAAAGCTGCGCCACACTTCTCACACACTGTGTGAGTGAACCCAACACACTTTTGGGAACTTACATCGGATTTTTTTTCCGCCCATTGAGGCCAGTGATCCTGACGGATTGCTTGTGGGGCACATGTTGGGCAGGTCTCTTATGTTTCTTCGCTAGAAGCTGACCTTCTATAGACCGGCGTGTTGTCAAAGTTGTTTTTTGTCCCCATCCTACATAGAGTTTCGGCAGTTTCCAGGCGAAAATCTGTGGACGCAAGGATGGTCTTATCAGGAAGATTTTTATATTTGCAAACCCTCTTATAGAGTAGCCATGAGTTAGCCGAAGTAAAGTCTAAGTAGTGATAGAACAGGCGCATCTGCCAACGTTTGCTCCGCAGTCGTATCTTGTAGATGCCGTCGACAAGGTCTACACGGCCCATATGTCGGTTATACTCGCCAACTACAAGAGGTCGTGGAATGTTAATATAATTTGAGTTCTTTTTGTCGTATCTTCGGACTTCAGATACAGGATTTTGGCCAGCAAATGTGGAAGCCAATGTAACCAGTTTATTGTCTTTCCATACAACCGTTGACACGTGGACACCGTTAATATTAGATACGTATTCTTCTGAATATCCACGATCTTTCTTCATTATCGCTTTCTCTGTCGACAGCTTGCAATCAGCAGTTCTATTTCGTCTAATAGTACCTAGCCCAAGAATACCTTCGTTTGCTAAATATTCCAAAAGAGGCAAAGATGTAAAGTAGTTATCGAAATAGATCCTGTAGTTTTGGTGTCGCGGAATCATACGCGATAATCTCACTACGACGTTGGAAGAGGCTCCTAAGTCTGGCTCGTCGGCTTTGACAACATTCTCTTTACCAGTCTCAACTTCTGTCGTATAAGCGAAACCGGAAACACNACGGAATCATACGCGATAATCTCACTACGACTTTGGAAGAGGCTCCTAAGTCTGGCTCTTCGGCTTTGAAAACATTCTCTTTACCAGTCTCAACCTCTGTCGTATAAGCGAAACCAGAAACACCACTCAAAACAAATAATTTGTATCCCCACTTATGAGGTTTCTTGGGGTTATATCTTTTCAGCATATTTCGCGCCTTTGTAGAGCACATTTGCTCCTCTACACAAACTCGTGTTTCTAGTGGAACTTTGGCGTATGCTTCGTTCAAAGCATCAACGACTGGACGAATTTTGAAAATCCTATCAGTGTCAGGGTGGCTCCTGGGAAGACATTTTGTGTTGTCANAGGAAGACATTTTGTGTGTAGATACACGACATCTATAAACTGTCGGACTTCAGTCTCAGATACACAAAAACTATTGCTCGGATCTTTCTGTACCAAATAGAGGTTTGTCTCTTCCGAAATTTTCCTTATAAGTTCTGGTGGAAATAGATAAAAAAAGAAGTGTATAGGAGTCTCGAGTTCCAATATATCAGAACGGAATGACACGTTGCCAGTGAAAGACAGCTGGTGTGCATTCAGCTCCAGATTATTTTTTTCACAGTAATGTAAGCTTTTCAGGCTTTCGCCGTTTAGCGGGAGGACCTGAAGTACCTGGAATGTCTGAACTAGACGTTGTCGGATCTACTTCTACCTCATGGTTAGAGTTATAGTCGTCATCGTTTATGTAGTCTACTAAATCATCCATATCAAATTCGACTCCCATAGACTCTTCATTCAACTCTCCTAAATCCGGGTCAAAGTCAGGGTCAGCCAAACTATCGTCATCAAGGTCGAGACCATCTTCACTTGCAGAATCATCTTGCAGTGCACAGGCTATCTCTTTGTCTGTCAGCCGTCGTAGTCGGTGAGCCATCCTAAAACGAAATAACAACTTATATAAATGTTGGCAGTGTTCATACAAGACAGTNCCGAAATATGTAACAACTTATATAAATATTGGCAGTGCTCATACAAGACAGTTCCCTTTTCCGCATAATGTAGCCTACAAGACACAAACGCTAAGTACCACCTGATACAAAAATACCTAGACTATATCAAAAAAAAACATAATAATATAGTAAACTTTGAGCACTTACTTTGAGCACTTACCTTATAGATTTTCACAAAAACAAGCACCAATAAACGTAAAAAATAATTTTTATTATTTTTTATCTTCAATCACGTGTCGACTGTTTGCAATTTTTCACTTCACTAACAAAATCGCGTCGTTTGAGACAAGTAACGGCATATACTTGGTTTTGCTTGCATTTGGTCCAAAGAACGGAGTGTAGGCTACATTCTACAATGCTTGACCAGACGTACAAATAATTACAAAAATAATTTAAGAAGGTGAAACGGTTTGTTGCCTGTAGTCTGACATACGTTATAGAGGGTTAAGCTTGTCATTTTCGTTGTTGGTGTTTCCGACAGCGCAAAAGTGTGATTTATTGTGGAACGACTTTCCGTCATCCCTTGTCAAATTTGGTTTTGAGACAAACCGGTTTCGGCGTTGTGCCATCTTCAGTGTCATTTTCCATTCTGAATAGTTTCTGTTTGCCCATCACTATTTATAGCCGTGCTCAATCGTCGTTGGTTCTTAGTTAGGGAACTCTCAGCGGATTATATTCTTTCGTTCAACCAGTACTTTTTGTTCTGAGTATACATCCTCAGGTAGAAATCAGCTGCTCACCTCTTCTTAATTAATTGTTGCATGGATTCACAGGTAGGTAAAAATCAATTATTTTCTTTCCCTTTGTTTCTGTAGTTTGGACCTGCCTTTCATTGTTTATGGTCGTCGCAGGGTTTCTGTCCTGTTTTGCGTACAGTAGCCTTAGTGGTTCGAATAATCGATCAGATGCGGTGTTTGTTTGCTCATTTATTATTTTTCCGACGAACATCTTTTGTTTGTATAACTCCATAGTCCCTAATACGTTTAGGAGCTGTTCTTTGTATTGTACATGGAGAAATTGGGCTGTCTTTGCTATTTTTATTGGCGTACAATGGTTTTCTGCCATATGGTTTGCGAAGTTCGATTCCAGTGTGGTAGATGGTTTTAGCATTTTTCTTGTTATAGTCCCTTATATGTTCACGATATCTTGTTTTTATCTTGCGCCCTGTTTGGCCTATGTAACTATCTTGACATTCGCCAGTCAACTTATATACACCTTGCTTGTCTAGTGGGTCTTCCTCGATAGCACTATTTCGTGGTATCCTCCCCAAGTTGTCCTTCGTTCTAAATTATGTATTAATGTTATACTTTTGGAATACCATAGCCAATTTATATGATGTTTTGCCCGTATAAGTTAAGACTGCCCAAGCCTTTTCATTATTTTCCTTCTTATTTAATTTCTTCGTTTTTGTTTCTCTTCTTATCTTGTTTTCTAGGCCCTTTTTATATCCGTTATTTTGCTGTAAGATTCTTTTTCCAATGGGGTTCGTTGAAGCTGCATTTTTGTGCTGTTGATGGTGGTTTGAAGTATTGTGTATTATCGTGTCTTTGACCGTGTGCTTTCTATTTATTCCGAATTCGCACTTGTTGGTAACCTTACTTATTTTAATTGTTATGTCCAAATAGTTTATTTTTCCTTCGTTTTCCTTATCCGTAGTGAAATTTATATTCGTGTGTTAGTCGTTCAGATAGCCAGAATTTGTTCTTCCTTGTCTCCCGTTACAAGACATATGATGTCATCGACGTATCNGTACCACCTGATACAAAAATACCTAGACTATATCAAAAAAAAACATAATAATATAGTAAACTTTGAGCACTTACTTTGAGCACTTACCTTATAGATTTTCACAAAAACAAGCACCAATAAACGTAAAAAATAATTTTTATTATTTTTTATCTTCAATCACGTGTCGACTGTTTGCAATTTTTCACTTCACTAACAAAATCGCGTCGTTTGAGACAAGTAACGGCATATACTTGGTTTTGCTTGCATTTGGTCCAAAGAACGGAGTGTAGGCTACATTCTACAATGCTTGACCAGACGTACAAATAATTACAAAAATAATTTAAGAAGGTGAAACGGTTTGTTGCCTGTAGTCTGACATACGTTATAGAGGGTTAAGCTTGTCATTTTCGTTGTTGGTGTTTCCGACAGCGCAAAAGTGTGATTTATTGTGGAACGACTTTCCGTCATCCCTTGTCAAATTTGGTTTTGAGACAAACCGGTTTCGGCGTTGTGCCATCTTCAGTGTCATTTTCCATTCTGAATAGTTTCTGTTTGCCCATCACTATTTATAGCCGTGCTCAATCGTCGTTGGTTCTTAGTTAGGGAACTCTCAGCGGATTATATTCTTTCGTTCAACCAGTACTTTTTGTTCTGAGTATACATCCTCAGGTAGAAATCAGCTGCTCACCTCTTCTTAATTAATTGTTGCATGGATTCACAGGTAGGTAAAAATCAATTATTTTCTTTCCCTTTGTTTCTGTAGTTTGGACCTGCCTTTCATTGTTTATGGTCGTCGCAGGGTTTCTGTCCTGTTTTGCGTACAGTAGCCTTAGTGGTTCGAATAATCGATCAGATGCGGTGTTTGTTTGCTCATTTATTATTTTTCCGACGAACATCTTTTGTTTGTATAACTCCATAGTCCCTAATACGTTTAGGAGCTGTTCTTTGTATTGTACATGGAGAAATTGGGCTGTCTTTGCTATTTTTATTGGCGTACAATGGTTTTCTGCCATATGGTTTGCGAAGTTCGATTCCAGTGTGGTAGATGGTTTTAGCATTTTTCTTGTTATAGTCCCTTATATGTTCACGATATCTTGTTTTTATCTTGCGCCCTGTTTGGCCTATGTAACTATCTTGACATTCGCCAGTCAACTTATATACACCTTGCTTGTCTAGTGGGTCTTCCTCGATAGCACTATTTCGTGGTATCCTCCCCAAGTTGTCCTTCGTTCTAAATTATGTATTAATGTTATACTTTTGGAATACCATAGCCAATTTATATGATGTTTTGCCCGTATAAGTTAAGACTGCCCAAGCCTTTTCATTATTTTCCTTCTTATTTAATTTCTTCGTTTTTGTTTCTCTTCTTATCTTGTTTTCTAGGCCCTTTTTATATCCGTTATTTTGCTGTAAGATTCTTTTTCCAATGGGGTTCGTTGAAGCTGCATTTTTGTGCTGTTGATGGTGGTTTGAAGTATTGTGTATTATCGTGTCTTTGACCGTGTGCTTTCTATTTATTCCGAATTCGCACTTGTTGGTAACCTTACTTATTTTAATTGTTATGTCCAAATAGTTTATTTTTCCTTCGTTTTCCTTATCCGTAGTGAAATTTATATTCGTGTGTTAGTCGTTCAGATAGCCAGAATTTGTTCTTCCTTGTCTCCCGTTACAAGACATATGATGTCATCGACGTATCTTGCCTAGAACTTTACTCCCAGGTTTGTAGTCCGCTCCGTCATATACTTTTCCTTTAAGTGTTGCATGAACACTTCCATTAAAATTGCAGATGTGAGATTACCCATCCCTAGCCCATTAGTTTGTCTATATATTTTGTTAGTAAACTTGAAGTAGTTTTGGTCTAGTGTTACCCTCAATGTTTTCATGATTTCCGTTGCTACGTTCTTGTTTGTTTTTTCTAGCAAAGTTTAAGTCAAGATGGTAACTGTTCCTGCCGTTGGTATCGATGGGTAAAGATCCTTAACATCAAATGATACAAATTTCGCATCTTTGGCTATGCCTAGCGATTTCATCTTTTCCAGTTTTTCCTTCAGCAACGATTTTAGATATTTCGATAGTTTGCATCCTGGTGCAGATTTGTGGTTGATAATTGGTCTCATCGGATTTCTTGGCTTGTGTATTTTTGGGAGTGCGATCATTGAAGGGGCCGAAGGATTCATTAATGTCTTTGTATATGCTTGCCTTGGATTTATTATTGGTTTTCCGGTTTTATAGCGTTCTTTACTGCCACTTGGTAGTCATCAGTTGGGTCCTTTCTCATCGTCCGACAGTTTCTTTATTTGATTTCTTTATATTCCATTCTTTCTTTTCTTTATATTCCTTTTCGTTTATTATTACCATTGTGTTCCCCTTGTCCTCTTTTGTTGTTATTTCTTTATTTGTTTTGAGGTTTTTCTTTATCCCTTTGACAGTTTTATTTTTGTCGCTCAGTTTTCTCTTCTCCACGAATTGTATGCTTTTTTCAATTATTCGTCTACACATCGTCGTTTAAACTGCAAAACCGCGTATCAGCAAAATGCAAAACCGCGTATGTGAAGTTGTAGAAATTATTTTCTAGAGCATACAAACACTCATATTTCAAAATGGTTCTCTTTTTTATAAAGCAATCGCATTTCTGGCTAGTATAATCAGACCTAATGGATATGGATTGAGCAAGAGCTTGTGCGAGTAAATCCAATTTTTGGCAGCCAAAGTCAGTTACGCGGTTTTGCAGAATGACGATACACGGTTTTTTACTTTAAACGACGATATGTGTCTTTCATGATCTTGATCCTCGCTTGGTAGTAATGATATGGCCATTTCCTCGTCTTCAATAGTGTGCTCTACCTCTTTATTTTTATCATAACACTGTGAGACAAATGGTAGGGGTCAGTGATCGGGAAGGGTTCAAACTACCGGGGAAAGTAATATCGGTAAAAAAGAAGTTATACGTGTCCCGGCGTTTCGCTGGGTCACGTCTAGGAATCGAGATATATATATAACTATCATATAGGGGAAATTGTCACCTTTGGTGGTCTTTTTTTGACATAACTCGAGAACCACTAGTCCGATTTTCCTCATTTTTCCTCGATTTAATATTTTATGCAAAAAATATTTTTTTTTCTTCATACATTTATTTTTACCGGCAAAACTGTTGATTATATAGAAAAACGTTATATGAACAGATTAAAGGAATTGTAATTTTTAATTTTTTTTAATTTGTTTGAGCAAAATCGGACTAGTGGTTCTCGAGTTATGTCAAAAAAAGACCACCAAAGGTGACAATTTCCCCTATATGATAGTTATATATATATCTCGATTCCTAGGCGTGCCCCAGCGAAACGCCGGGACAAGTATAACTTGTTTTTGACCGATATAACATTTCCCGTTGGTTTCATCCCATCCCGATTTTGACTGTCGCATAGTGTAATTTTCTATGTTGTGTTTAAGACCTTTTCCCAATATTTCTGTCTCTTCCCATTAGCAAACAAAAGACAGAAATATTGGAATATTACACACCGAAAGCGTGCACTTATTTTTATATATAAGATAGAGGTGCCACGCCCCCGTATCCAAATTTTGGCAAACTTCACATAAACCATCTGCATCATAGCCCGAATATGCTATATAGAATTCGGTGAAGCCTAAGCTAAAACATTTCGTTTTATATATAAGATTAGAGGTGTCATGCCCCTTTTTCCAAATTCAGGAAAACTTCACATAGACTATCTGCATGACAGCCCGAATATTCCATATGGATTTTGTTCAATTTGGTGAAGCTGTTCTCAAGTTATAAGGCTACACCAAAAACGTGCACTTATTTTTATATGTTAGTTAGTATGAGTTGTGCCACGCTCCCTTTTCCGAATTTGGGCAAACTTCACTTAAACCATCTGCATAATAGTCCGAAAATGCCGCATAAATTTGGTTGAATTCGGTGAGCCGTTCTCAAATTATGAGGTCACACCAAAACCGTGCACTTATTTAGACATATAAGAACTTAATAATAAATAATATTTTTTGTTTTTATTAATAAGTCCAGTTGTCGGCCGCTGTGGTGCAGTGGTAAGCAGTGTGCGCTTTCACTCATCAGCACCTGGGTTCAAGCCCTGGTCAAAGCAACATCGCAAAAAATATAGAAAAAGGGTTTTTCTTAATAGCGGTCGTCCCTCGGCAGGCAATGGCAAACCTCCGAGTATATTTCTGCCATGAAAAACAGCTTCTCATAAAAATACAATCGCCGTTCGAAGTCGGCGTAAAACTGTAGGTCCCTCCGCTTTGTGTGACAATATCAAGGCGCACACCACAATTCGGAGGAGAAGCTCGGCCAAACACTAACATATGTGTAAGCGCCAATCTATTATTATTATTAAATCAAGTGGGTTTGCATCACGGTTGCCAACTTTTGTATTCTTGAAACCGGGACGCACAATGAGTCTGTTCCTTTGCTCGCCCGCAGGTACCCGAAAGTAGCCTATTTGTGTCTCTTTGGTTGGTTCTTGGGCTGTTGAGAGCCATTTTTAGCGAGTAATATTTGCTTCTCACTAGCCCGAAGTCGGCCGAGCGAGTTTGTGAAAACTTTCAAACTGCCAGAAGAAGAGGAAAAATTTTTAACATTCCAATTTTAGCTACGAAATATGTGCATATTTAGCTGTTTTTCTTTGATTGATAAGTGAAAAAAATATCAAGTTAACCATTAGTTAACATAACTGTGTTTGCTGCCGCTCAAATTTAAATTTATAATTTTGAGCGATTTGACATTTAGAGTCCTTCCGTACCTGCCGTCCGTATCATAGAAAGAGAGAAGCAACGACAACGTCACCGTCATGCGATGGTGAGTTTTCGTTAACACGTGGATCCCATAAGATAGGTAGTGTCAGCTGACACGGTTGTTGTTGTTGTTGTTGTAGCGGCACTACTAAGCCCCGCCTTTTTCGGGTCTACGTTCAATCATTGTCGTCAAGCTCAACTAACGGGAGGCCCAGGAAACAAGCTGCTTCGATGGGTTCGGACCAGAGGGAGAGGGGTGTTATTTGAGTCGGATTGAGCTGGCATGTAAAGAGGTGGTTGGTGTCGTGGGGGACTCTCCACATGCCGGGCACTCATTGGGGATATTGGGG